TTTCTTCTTCTTCTTCTTCTTCTTCTTCTTCTTCTTCTTCTTCTTCTTCTTCTTCTTCTTCTTCTTCTTCTTCTTCTTCTTCTTCTTCTTCTTCTTCAATTAAGTTAAGATACATACTGCTGTGCAAAGTACGGGGGACATTGATTCACACGTTAAAAAGAAATTTGAGGATAAATTTTTGACCACGCTATAGTTCATTTTTACTTTTTTGAAAAGAACATAAATTCTGCGAGTCAAAAGAGCCAGACCTTAGTTGACAAGAAAGCAGCTTAGAAATGCTTCAGCGAAATAGTAATTTCTCAATGAATAGCTCTTTAGACAAGGAAATATATAATTTGCTACATAAACAACACAAGCGAACTGTGTGCATTAAGCCACTATTCTCATTCTATGATTACGGGAACTGGTTATCAGGAAGGTGCAAAGGGAACCGCTGGCAGTTAATCTTTCCTTTAAAAAATATAGGTGTTTTACGCCCCTTTCTAAACAATTTAGATCTTTCAGAAGACAGGCTTCTGACCCTGCCTGTCAGGGGTCAACCCGGGCTGACAGTGATACATCATTCTAGTAGAAAGATCGAAATACTGGATTAACATTCTCCCTTACTCCATAATCGAGCTCGAGTCTCCTGTTTTCGAGAGCGAAGCGCTTATCTGCAACACCACAGAAGATGGTCTACTCTCTTCTTCATTCGTTAAGTAAAAGAATAGACAATGTTAAACAGCCTCTCAGCGTTTTGTGCCAGTCGAATATGGCACGGGTAGATACTATGCTATTTCTGGTTATTCCATAACTAAGCATAATTTTCAAAACCACCAAAATATGACGTACGTTTTGGAAGGGAGATGAATTTGGAAAGTTAGTATCTTAAAATGTCATATGAGTTATTTCCTGCTTGCGTATTTTCGTATACTATTTTCTTGACAGCATAATTCTTTTTTGCTTACGTAAACATCAAATTGTATTGTATCGAAACTGCCATTTGAGAGTAATTATTTGAGAAATTATACCCTGCCAACAGACAGTAAATGATTCACCGCGTACAAGGGCAAATCGATGCTCGTGAAAAGTTATTTTTAACTGTTGCAGAGAGATGGAATCCCATAAGAGAACTCTTTTTATGAAAGAATAATGCGACAGAACATTTTTTGTTCCCTATTTTTTGGTTGCAAATATCAGCCCTAAATACTGTTATTTTACTCATGCTTATACAACATCTGACCCCAGCAGGGATAACGACAGTCTTCCCGATTATTGGATATTATGCCAAGTGTAAAGAGGCCATGTTCTCCTATCATGTGGAATTGATATCTCCCTTTATATCTAGTTTTAATCCCTTTCACTCCATCTATACATAGGTGCCATTGTGTTTCTCTGCCTCTCTCCTCCCCACCCTGCCCCATCTACTTATATGTCTATATCTCCCTCGCTCTCTACACCTCTCTCTCCATCCCTCTTTATATATTTAAATATTTATGTTTGCATATTACATGTGAGAGAGTGCCAACGAGTATGTGTGCATGTGCGTGTATGCGTGAACGCGCGTTTGTGTGTGTGTGTGTGTGTGTGTGTGTGTGTGTGTGTGTGTGTGTTTGTCTGTGAGTGTGTGTGTGTGTGTGTGTGTGTGTGTGTGTGTGTTTTGTCTGCGCACGTACACGTGTGTGAATATGTGTGTGGGAGCAAGAATATGTGTATCTTTAATGCACCTTTAAAATAAGCAAATTACCAACTCGCTTCTGTCTTTCTCCTGTCTCACTCAGTACCATGCGTCGGTGATACAAGAGAGAAATATTAATTTCTCGAGAACATAATTATAAAAATACACAAACTTCCCTGAATCCTGTGAAAGAGCCAAACTCATAAGGAAAACCAACAAGACGCCCAACAGACATCAACTGACTGCTTCGCTAAGTATTTCTAAAATTCAAGAAAAAAGAACTCTTCACACTTAATACTTACATCAGTTAACAGATGTCTCCTTATATATCATAATACAACAGAGCAATATCCATAATAATTGTGTCTAATAATTTAAAAAGTGGCTTGATTTAACGTCGGAATTTTAAATAAATTAATCCTGATAAAAAAGATAAACCACTTCCCAACTCATACCTCGCGCCTTTGAGATTGACAACACGAGAATCCTTCAGACAGAAATTCACACGATGACAAGAGTTTTAATGAAACAGGACGAGTCTGATGAGACCTGCTCGCATTTTCCCTAGCTCGTTGAGAAAGCACGCGCTCTATTGAACCGCTTTCGCTAACGGGGAGGTTGGAGTGACGTCGACAAAGCGGCGTCCTTGTTGAGCCACGGGCTGGCGGGCGCCACACGCTCTTCTCTTCCTCTGGCACCGTGGCCTCGGTGAGAATCGTCGTGCGACACTTTTTTTTGCGGGGG